ACATACATACATACATACATACATACATACATACATACATACAGACAAATTAGCGCTTTATTATAAGTAAATGATATTTAATTATGATCGCTTCAGAAATAGCATCACATACTTACAATGTCTAGTAGCTTTAGAAGGAGATACCGCGATTTTGGAAGAGAAGCGAGAGAGCTATGTCTTTTAATATCAGCCTCGGAACGAGGTCTCCGATTGAACTTTATGAGAACGAATATCCGCTTGAAATCCAGAAAATTACGAAGCCCGCTTTGTAACTTGTACAAACGCGTGCAATTAGGACAAACTGCAGGCCGTATACTTGAAGCGCATTTTCTTCAAATAAGATAAAACCATTTAGGGCCCTGGCAAGAAAGGGAGAAAGTCCTGTGATCTGATTATTGCGCTGTAAGTTGGGCCAAGGAGTGCACAAAAAGTGTTCGCTATAAGGAAAGCAAAAAACGGAGTCCCGAGGTCTCCCGTAGGTCATGCATGAACATTCGCGCTAGGAACGAGGAGGGGAGCTTCTACATTCTTTTTGTTGAAGAAATAGTCATAATTGAGTTTGAACTAAAGGCTCCTCTCCTGACCCAACACGATTTTCTCTTTGCTCTCCAAAAACGAATTCCAGCCTGCCCTCCTAGACCTGCCGCTAATTCTGATTACTATCTAATAACCTTAAAACAACTACTTCTGCAACTTGAACTCTTTATTTGTTGTTAGTAGAGCATATTTATTGATAATCATCAAGAATGCCGCCTTTCCACAACGGGAATACTTCCATACGTCCAGTGCGAGCGTCTGTGAAGCGATACAGATGATAACATCGCACGAGATCGGATAGTGAACGGAACTAAAATTAAATTTTTATAAGTAAGAAAGTGGATCTTCGGAAGAGACTGGCGTTTGCGTGTAGTTTGGTACAACCGCAATGCAATTGCAATGCAACCGCTTCGCGGCCGCAGACGCACCGACTGTGTCTTGCTATTGTTGCCAATTTGAACGTGCCACCATTTTGAACCATTGCCTTCGGTATATCTTACCACAGGAAAGTGAAAGAGCTAAAGAAAAGTTTAGAATTCTTCAATGGAACGATTTGCATGCGCCTTGCGACCGCACGCGCGTCTGACTGACCTTATTTCTTGTGTTTCTATGTGCTAAATATAGAGGGATTGCAACATCAAGGTCATCATCCTCTTCTTTCTTGTAGTATAAAACAAAATCATCCGGTTTGACTATAGCACCTGCCTAAAAGAAAAGGAGCTCAGACAACGAGAGAAGCCTTTCAGTTCATATAAATTTTCGAATCTCTAGCCATACCTCTTCACTAGAACGCACACCGATGAAGTGTTCTTCTATGCGAGGATCCGCGGATGGGCGGTACTGAATTTATTAACTATTTGCCTAACAATCGATTAAATCAATAGCCTTACATCCGATTCAGCTTGAGGCAATGGAACAAATTGAGAGACGTCTGTATCTCGCACATAGATAGGATCAGTCATTTCCGAATCCTGTAGAGCGATACTACGTCAAACCAGCGCAAATCTTTTCCAGACTCCTGCGTTGGACCCGCTTACCGCGATAGTCCATTTAGTTGGCTCACAAACGTATAAAACTGGTGGACGATCTTCTTCAGAGGATTTTTTCGCCTGTAATTTACATGCTCTTTCATCGAATTCAGGCCAAGCGCCATCCATATCTAACCTCCCCACTGTCTTCAGATTCAGTGCGTCGTGTTTTTCTTTTCTCCTTTCTTTTTTGCCTGAAAGAAGATGATAAGACTTTAACTGTTTGGCGGTACAAGCTCAGCAGCTCACCGGTCATCCTTGTGTCTCTTCTGATAGTTTCTTGAACTAGAACCCATTTGAGAGTTAAGCCGTTTACGGTGAATGCCAGAATAGAAATGCACCTCACTCCATTGAGCACCTTAAGTTGAACATAAAGTGAAGTAAATATTTGCAGAAATTACCGTAAATCATTTCATACCATTCTATAATTTTTGTTGGGCGTAGATAGAATGACTTTTTTCATTGAGATCTGGAGTTTGAAGAAAGATGCTTCAGGAAAGCTGACAATTACGAGAAAACAAATGTTGACCAACCCGACGAAAGATGTGCATGCAACCTAACAATTTTGAGCACAACAGACACTTTTGAGCCAGTCTACATTAAATTTGGTTTCCTTATGTTATGGTGGAATATGGTGGCTACTATCATTACAACCACGAACCCATTACCTTATAGCAAGGCTGCAAAGCGCAGCCGCAACTGCTCAGATGTTCGAGCTGAAGTACCTTCCTAAGAATTGAAGTAGTCGAAGTGACACTGGAAATTCCAAGAAATGCATGAGTAAGCATCTTTTCCGCTAACTCTATATCAAAGGTATGACTACGAGGCGTATTTCGAGGCGAGAAGAACCCCAGAAAGTAACTGCCGAAAAAGGGAGAGAGAGTGGGAGAAGCGAGTGGGAGAAAAGAATTACTTCCACACATCAACGCAAGACACTAGCTAAGCTGTCTGAACTTCAGGTCTTCATACGCTGAAGATCAGCGCGCTTTGCAATAGGAATGTAAGCCCCTAACAAATCTCTGAAGCAACATCTCCTCCACCTAGTAACCCTCTCTTTACGATGTCTTTCCTCTAACACTTCTCTTTCCTAACGTTGATGCTAATCGTACATTGCCTACTTTTAATCTAGGTACACGCCACTTTCTGTATTTGTGTATGTCTATATGCATGCCCCCGCGATAGTCTACCGCCTCACCGTGGCGCAGGATGACTCTGGGTGTCTGACTGTGAAGTACAGCGTAAAGCAGAGGTTTTCTTTCAGTAGGCCTCCCAAGCTGAGAAGGAGTTCGAAGTTTTCCGGCTCCCCGGAGGCCCAGCTAAAAGTAGGAAGTGCCAAAAGCACCACTCCGGCTGAATAAGTTGCTAGGGGGTTGCCTGATCTACATAAGGTCAGCAAAGCCTGTGGTGAAAGCTTGGCAGGCTCTGGCAAAGCTGCTAATGTTTGGGAGAAAGTTCTGTAGCCCCTATGTAAGAAGAAAAGAAGTCCTACTGAATCACATCTACGGCGTCGGACCAGTGCAACGTTGCACAGGATGCCACGGATTTCGGACCAAAAGGACACGTCAACGACTTGCCATGAGATTGTCTCATGCTCTGCACCTACAGCGCCAGAACAGTCTCCGCAATCGCCGATCTTCACGTCCTTTTCGAAGCTGCAAAGCGCGACAACAATCACGTAATCGCCTTGCAGGGAACAAAGTTCAGGAAAACGGACGTGAGACAGCTGTGTGATGGTCCACTCACCATTCGTAGTGCGACAGTTATATCACGGAAAGTTGGAGGCGTTGGATTTGTCGTAAACCCATCTTTTGTTCATCATGTCGATTCGCATGAGATCCTATCACCTCGCTTGGCTATCCTTTGATTCCGACCTCTGCACCAGAAAACCATCACTAACATCACTTGCTATTCTCCAACATCAAGCTGATGATTCGGAACTTGATGCTTTTTATGAAGATTTGGAGGAAGTTATCCGCAAAGAAATCCTTCTATGAGTTCGTTTTGGGTGACCTCAATGCAGAAATTGAGATGCCAGAAGAAGGGGAGCACATGATCAGGAGATTTGGATCAGGACTACGGAATGGTAACCGTCTTGTTGGGTTCTTCTCCGTCGCACGGATTTTCAAAAAGAACTTCAGCAGTGGTTCAGATCACCGTCTCCTCCGAGCAAAAGTGCGATTCAGCCGGAAGCTGGAAAAGAAGATCTACCCCCGTGTTGAAAGAAGGTGAGAAGTCGTTTGGCTTCAGGAAGCACCTGGCATCAAGACCAGTGTCAGGTTGCACAGGACGCTATGGATTTTGGACCAAGAGGACACGTCAACGACTCGCCATGAGATTGTCTCATGCTCTGCACAACAGTCTCCACTAACGCCAGTCCTCATGTCCTTCTTGAGGCATCTCTACTACCACGTCATCGCCTTGCAGGAAGCAAAGTCCAGGAAAACGGAAGTAAGACAGCTGAGTGATGGACACTCATCAATCGAGGTGAGAAAGTTCCATCACAGAGTTGGAGGCGTTGGATTTGTTGTACACCCATCTGTTGTCCATCTTGTCGATTCGCAGGAGGTCCTATCACCTCGTCTGGCTATCCTTCGACTCCATCCTCTACATCAGAAAGCCACACTATCATCAAATGTTATCCTCCAACATTAGCTCATGATTCCAATTTTGATGCTTTTTATGAGGATTTGGAGGAATTCATCTGTAAAGAGAAGCCTTCTACAAATTCGTCGTGGGTGACTTCAGCGCGAAAATCGGGATGTCAGAGGAAGGGGAGCATAGGATCGGGAGATTTGGAACAGGATTCCGGATTGAGGAAGTAACGTTCTCATGGATTCTTATCTTCCACACACTTTTTCTGACAATTCATCTTCATAAAAAAGGAACACTTGAGGTGGACATGGAGGTCACCCAACGGTGCGACTCATGCGGAGGTCGACCACTTTCTCACCAACCGAAGGTGGCTCAGATCACCGCCCTTCAAGCACAAGTGCAATTCAGCCGAAAGCTGGAAAAGAAGATGTGCCGCCGTGTTGGAAGAAGGAGAGAAGTCGTCTATGACAGCGTCAGATTGGAGGAGCTCTTGACCACTTGTGACTGGCCCATAGAAGAGGACCCAACGAAAGACTACGACCTGCTTCTAGAGGAGTGAGAGCTGTGGAAAGTACCTCAATGCTTCGCACAAGAAACTTGGAACGAATTTCGAAAGCCACCAAGGATCTGCTAGATAGGAGAAGAGCACTGAGGCTGGATCCCACTGCATCACATCTCGAGCGACTAGTAGCCAATACTAGTTACAGAACACCTTTGCAAGAAGATTGGATGTACAGACAGTCGAAGCTGAATTAGCACAAGGAAGGAGTAGTTTGAATAAGTGCAGCAGGGTCTTCTTGACTACCGTGTTCTGCTGACAACATTACTAAACGAAGACAGCACTCGCACATCTTCCCGGCAGAAGATGGAATCGACGGCGTAAAGATTTCACATCAATCTCTTTCGCTCATCAACACCCGTGTCAAACCTCGTTCCCAATGGAGAAATACTACCACCGATTCTACCTGATGAAGTACGCCATCCAGACCATGAAGGCAGCCATGGCTCCAGGACCGGATCGTGTCGGCACATCCTACGAGGTGGAGGACATCGCCTACATGAGATACTTGAGGCACACCTAACGTCTTACCTTCAAAAGGAAAGGACCCGCGACCAGTGGATCCAAACACTGCTTCATAAGAAGGGTGATAGGGAGGATCTTCGGGACTATTGCGTATTCCTACTGAGCGTGTTTTACAAGCTCTTCACGAAGGTTATTCCCACTCGCATTCAAAGACACTGAATGAATGCCTTGCAAAACCCACCTGTAGAACAAGCTGGGTTTCGCAAGAGATTCAGCTACGTGGATCACATCCAGACGGCTTGGAGGACTATCGACTTTGCCATCGCCACCTTAGCATACCAATTTTAAAGATGGTTCGACAAGGCAACGCCGTGTCGCCAAAGCTGTTTACCACCGCCTTGCAGTGCGTGATGAAATCATTGGAATGGAAAGAGAAAGTATAGAATATAGAGAGGTATAAGAGTTGATGGTAGATTCCTCTAAAACCTTCGTTTTGCGGACGACATTGTTCTCTTCTCGAGGAATATCACTGAAGCGGAGAAGATGTTGAAAGAACCAAACGAAGTAGGGAGACGGATAGGACTGCGAATTAAACAGAAGAAAACTCAGTCCATGAAGAAGCTTTTGCGAGGATCAGGAAATGGAATTAGAATGCTCTCCATTCGCGGAGACGTTTTCTTACGCGTATTTCGGGCGTTCGATAAACATGGAGAACGATCTGAAAGAAGAACTAAACAGGAGGCAAAGAGCAGCTTGGACCACGTTCAGGTCCCTAAAGGAAGCCACAGACCAGATGGACCAAGAGC